CCATCCTCCATGCCTGAGGGGACGCAAGGTCGTGTTTGTCAGGCGTCCTTCGCGTAAGATTCTCCAGGCTCTCCCACCAGCCAGCTCACGCCACTCCAGATCCAGTCCTGAAAATGTGGCAGACCCCGAGCCAGGGTGGATGCTAGGTGATAGACAGACCCTGCGTGAAATAAGAAAACAAGGAATATTTACCTTTCAATGCTCCTGGCACATGATGATCAGTATCAGCCCTGTTTTAATCACTTGGGTTCTTTGAATTCTCCCAAGAACAATGAAAGGGAAATGCTGTTATTAACCCATTTCTCACATGGGAAAACCAAAGCACAAGGCATTTAAGTCTCTTGCCCAGGGTTACAACCTTAGGACGTGGTACCACTGGACCTGAAGCCTGTTAGTTTCCCAAGAGGAGGGGAAACATAAAGGTTTCCTTTGGCCCAGATATGTTTTCAACACCACAGTAGTGCTTGATTTCTTTTTTTTAAAATTCTTTACTTTGATTGATTGTTGCTGAGTTGGAGTCTCACTCCACTGCCCAGGCTGTAGTGCAGTGGCATGCTCAACGGTCACCCTAGTGTTGTCCTGCTGGGCTCCAGTGATCCATCCACCTCAGCCGTCCAAGTAGCCAGAGCCTCAGGCATGTTCTACCACTCCCGGCTAATTTTTTTTATTTATTGTAGAGATGCCATCTCACCATCTTGCTCAGGCCAGTCTCAAACCCATGGACTCAGGCAATCCTCTTGACTTGGTCTCCCAAAGTGCTGGCATTACAGGCTTGAGCCACCGTGCCCTGCTGATTTATGTATTTATGTATGTATATATGTACTTATTTTTGAGTTGAAATCTCACTCTGTCGCCCAGGCTAGGGTGTAGTGGCACACTCATGGCCACCGCAGCCTTGACCTGCTGGGCTCAGTTGATCCTTCTGCTTAAGCCTTCCAAGTAGTTAAACTGCAGGCACACACCACGTCTGGCAAATTTTTTGATTTATTGTGAAGATGAGATCCCATCTTGTTCCCCAGGCTGGTCATGAACCCGTGGGCTCAGGCAGTCCTCTCATCCTGGCCTCCCAAAGTGCTGCAATTACAGGCATGAGCCAAAATGCCTGGCCTATTGATTTTTTAATTTGGAGACGATTCTTGCTATGTTTCCTACGTTGGTCTCAAGTTCCTGGACTAAGGTACTTCTCCCGTCTTGGTCTCCAAAAGGCCTGGGATTCCAGGCATAAGCCACTTTCCTTGGCCTAAAATCTTATAAATAGGAGCAAACTTTGGGCCCAATGTGGACCACTTGAAAGGTGGTGGAGAAGGGAAATGTGTGTATATATATATGAAGGGGGACCCCACAAAACCCAGAATTATCTTTTTGGAGGACAGGCTCCTTGTGGCACACGCATCCCTGTACAAGCAAGTCTTGTGTTGAGAGGCTGGGTTCAGCTTGTTTTGTTTTGGGGTTTTTTTGAAGATTCTTTCCATGTGTTTGCCTATTTTAAGATGGGAGTTTTGCAAGTACACCCGCCCACACTGTGCTGAGTGTTAATCAGTTTTTGACCAAATCAGCATGGCCCCCGGGCCCCACCCTCCCCATTCACCTGATCTCTCCCTGAGCGATATTTTTGTGTTTCTCATGATGAAAAAGTCCTCAAAGGGAAAAGTATGGCCAACGTGGAAGAGGTAAAAGGAAAATTACAGAAGCACTCAAAGGCATCACAGTTGACAAGCTCAGCGAACTGTTTTGAGCAGTGGAAAAGGTGTCTCGATAGGTGTATTGCATCAAACAGAGAATACTTTGAAGATGACTGAAGCTTAAACATGTAAGAATAAATGCAAATTTTGTATAGATAAATTCCAGATTTTGTTAGGTTTCCATCGTATGGACAAAATACACCATAGAGGAATCTATGTCTGGACGTATGATTCAGTTTCAATTTCAGCATTGATAAAGAGTTTGCTTTTCATTTAAACATTTGCAATAGTTAACTTTGTGTCAGCTTGGCTAGGTGAATTACCCAGTTCCTTGGTCAAACACCAACTATCTGTTGCTCTGAGGGTATTGTCTTATATGTGGCTAACATTTAAATCAGTGAACTTTGAGTAAAGCAGATTTTATAGGAGATGTATTATGTATTAGCTGCCTCTCCCACTTGGTGAGCATAGTGGGGACACCTTCACCACAATGGTGAGAAACAAATTGGTGAGGGGAGTTCCAGTATTCTTTTTTTTGAATCGGAGTCTCAATATCACCCAGGTTGGAGAGCAGTGACTTGCTAACAGCCACTGCAGCTTCAACCTGCTGGGCTCAGGTGATCCTTCCAGCTCAACTGTCCTAATAGCTGGAACCACAGGTGCATGCCACCACACACGGTTACTATTTATTTACTTATTATAGAAAGGAGGTCTTCCACGTGCCCAGGCTGGTCTCGAGCCCCTGGGTTTAGGCAATCCTCCCATTTCTGCCTCCCAAAGTGCTCAGGTGACAGGTGTGAGCCACCGCACCCAGTCATGTAGTCACTTCCAAGTAGACAGTACAGTGAAGGAAGTAAAGTTGGACTGGGAAAGTCAGAAAATGAAAGTGAGAGATGGTGATGCTTTTTTGCCGAATTTCACATGAGCATGTGGTAATATGTGTGTCTCCCACCTCTTCCGTGTAATCCGAGCTTATGTGAATGAATGCTCAGAGATAACTGGCTTGCTGGGGGCACTCAGGTTGCACCATTCTGAGATTCTAGTGCCCAGTGGCCATGGTATCCTGTCCCCCACCCCTGCTCCGTGGTGCCACACCTATCCCAAAGAGAGCCTGTGTGCAACCCCTGCCTAGCACTCACCTCCCTAGATCCCAAGCTCAGGTGGAGCTGGGGGAGCTGGGAGGGTGTTGCGTGCAGAGGACAGAACTCAGACATCACTTTTGTTCTCCACCCCCCTGCCCCGCCCCACACATCTCCTCTATGTACCCACCATGGTCCGGTCCGTCTGGGCCCCAGGTCTCTCACTCTCAGTTCAATCCCCCACCACAGTCCCATCTTCCAAAGCACACAAAGGAAAACAGAGTCAGAATCAAGTCAAAAACATTTTTATTGTAATTCACTTTTTTTTTTGAGTCAGAGTTTCACTCTGTCACCCAGGCTGGGGTACAGTGGCATGCTCACGGCCACCACAGCCTCAGCCTGGCGGGCTCAGACTATTCTTCTGCCTCAGCCTTCCAAGTAGCTGGAACCACAGGCAAGTGCCACCACAGCTGGCTAATTTTTTGATTTGCTGTAGAGATGAGGTCTCGCCAAGTTACCCAGTCCAGTCTCAAACCCCTGGGCTCAGGCAATCCTCTCATCTTCCCCTCCCAAAGTGCTGGGATTACAGGCGTGAGCCACCGCACCCGGCATAATCCACATATCTTACAGAAATTAAATGTAGCAAAAGGGTCAGGGCTGTATAAAAAAAATCCAGGTTTATATATGTTGCTCCACCTCTACCTGGGATCAGGGTCTCCCGACATCAGGCACAGCAGCTGCACTTGTCCGAGGCCTCTTTGCAGACACAGCCCTGGGCACACTTGGCACAGCCCACGGGGCAGCAGGAGCGGCAGCTTGGGAAGAAAGGGGAGAATGGGTGGTCAGAGCAGACTTGACCAGGCGTCTCCCCGCCCAGCAGAGGCCTGGCACAAGCCCTGGAGGACTGACAGTTCGGGAAGGCATGGCTCTGTTCTGAGACAATAGGTGGGACCTTGGAGGCTTGTGTCCCAATAGCAAGAGGCTGCCCTGCCCCAGTTGTGCTCAGGACAGAAAGCCTGGAGAGGGAATGGTGTGGCCAACGAGGGCAAAGGAAGGCCGGTTGCCAGAAGCACAGACTCAACCAGCTCCGGGTCCCTCCCAACCTCAGCCCCGGGTTCCCAGGGATGGTCCCCACCCACTCTTCTTGCAGGATGTGCATTTGCACTCTTTGAACTTGCAGGAGCCAGGGCAGGCGCAGGAGCCACCTGCAAGAAAGAGAAGGCCAGAGGTGCGCGCTGAGTGTGACGCAGTCGGGGCAGCGGCGGTCAATGAGTCTCCAGTGCCCCCTCCTCTGTGAGGGCCAGCCCTAGAGCTCCTGTCCCACTTAGGGCATAAGAAGCCCCATCCTCTCTCCCCTCCTGCCGGGAAGGGCCAGGACCTCAGGTTCTCAACCAGAAGAGGCAATGTCTTGCCTTCTCAGCCTGGTAGGCGTGCTGGGGCCAGACAGGAGTCCCTCGAATAATTGGGGGACATTCAGCAGGGCAGCCTTGAGCTTCCGAACTCTCAACTCTGTCCTAGAGGCCAAGGGTGAAGGGAAGTGCTCCCAGGGCTTGGCCAGAAATCCAGCCCTGGACCAAGGTCAGTAGCCCAGAGGTCCAAATGCGCCTCCTCAAACCCAGGGATACTCTCTTCTGGGTCTGGGAAATGGACATCCCAAGGCGCAGAGCAGGGCGTCCCTTACCAATGGTGCAGGAGCAGTTGGGGTCCATGTCAAGCCCCGGCGAGGCGCCAGTTCCAGGCGAGAGCGAAGAGGCAGCGGGGGACGGGGGGGGGCTGCTGGAGCCCAGGAGGCGTCAGCTCTCTTTAGAGTCCGTAGAGTAAGCCGGCCGCAGAGGCCACACCCGGGTCTTTGCACCCGCCCCGCCCTGTGCTCGCCGCCCGCGGTCAGGACCCGGCGGTGCGCAGAGTGCTAGCGGTGCGCAACGGCTCTGAGCGCTGTTCCGAGCGCACCGCGAGGGCGCCTCTCCGGCTTTCCTGGGGGGGGCGGGGCTGCACGCCCGGACGTGCGCAGCGTCCTTGAGCCTTCCAGGAACCCAGTCCCCGGTGCTCGTGGCCGCCCGCCCTAGTCACGCTCTCTGTTCTTCGCTTTTCCCGGGTCCCAGTGCAAGCCCCACCTAATGCTCACGTCCCTAGATCTCCCGGCACCAGAGAGCGCACGTGGGAGTCGTGTGCAGAAACAGACTGGGACCTTGGTCTGCCCAGCCTCTGCCTTACCTTGTCACCACCCTCGTCCGTGCCATGTCTCCTGTACACAGCCCCCGGTGGACACAGGGTCATGCCTCCCTCCATCGTTCACGCCTGAGGGGACACCACCGCACGTGTGTTGGGGCCTCCTTCTCATAAAATTCTCCAGGTTCTCCCACCAGCTAGCTCACGCCACTCCAGATTCAGTCCTTAAAATGTGGTCGGCCTCTAGCCAGGGATGATGCTTAATGATAATGAGACCCTGCCTGGTATTAGAAAAGCGAGGAAAGTTATCATCTTCCAGTATTCAATATTTCAGTATTGTTTCATGACGCTTTGTGTCATTCCCCATTTAATCACTTTAGTTCTTTGAACTCTCCCAAGAACAATGAAAGGGAAATAATGTTATTAACCCATTTCTCAAATCGGAAAACCAAAGCACAAGGTATTTAAGTCACTTGCCCAAGGTTATAGCTCTAGGAATTGGTGCCACTGCATCCGAAACCAATCAGTTTTCCAAGAGAAGGAGGGAATGCATAATCATTTATTTTGGCTCAGATATGTTTCAACCCCATGGTACTGCTTGAAAATTTTTTTGATTATTTATTTTTATTTCTCTCTATTTATTCATGATTTAGAGAAAATTCTCACTATGTTTTCTAGGTTGGTCTCAAATTCCTAGGCTAAAGCAATTCTCCCATCTTGGCCTCCAAAAGGCCTGGGATTACAGGCGTGAGCCACTGTGCTTGGCCTGAAATTTTTTAAGCAGGGGCAAACATTCGTTTCAGCTCTGGACAGCTGGAAAGTGATGGAGAAGGGAAATGTAGATATGTATATGAAAGGGGACCTCAAAAAGTCCGTAATTATCTTTTGGAGTGTGGGTCCACTGTAGTATAGGCTTCTTTCTGTTAGGCAGGTGTTCTAGGAACCCACTGGTATCTGTGTACCAGCTAGCATTGTTGTAAGAGGCTGGGTTTGACTTTAGTGAATTTTATTTTTTTCAACATGTTTGCCCATTTCACAATGAGAGATTTACAAGTACACCGGCCCACACTGGGTTGAGTATTAATCAGTTTTTGACCAAAAACCACATGACCCCACTCTCCCTAGTCATTTTATCTCTTCTTCAGTGATATTTTTTGTTTTCTCGATGGAAAAGGTCCTCAAAGGGAAACGTTTTGCCTATGTGAAAGAGGTGAAACAAAAAGACAGCAGAAGCACTAAAAGGCATCAGAATTGATGAGCTGAATAAAACATTTTGAGCAGTGAAAAAGGTATCTCCGTGTATATTGCATCAAAAAGAGGGTTCTTTGAAGGTGACTGAAATTTAAACACGTAAGAATAAATACACAATTTTTTTTTTGAGTTGGAGTCTCACTCTTATCACTCAGGCTGGAGTACAATGATACATTAACGGCCACAGCAGCCTCAACCTGCTGGACTTAGGTGATCCTTCCATCTCAGCCTTCTAAGTAGCCAGAACTACAGACGCATGCCATGCCACCATGCCCAGCTAGTTTTTTGTGATTTATTGTAGGTATGAGGTCTCACCAAGTTGCCCGGGCTGGTCTCGAATTCCTGGGCTCAGGCAATCTTCTTGTCTCGGGCTCCCAAAGTGTTGGGATTACAGGCTGAGCCAGTAGGCCTGGCCAACATTTTTTTTTTTTTTGAGTTAGAGTCTTACTCTGTCACCCAGGCTGGAGTACAGTGGCACACTTACAGCCACCCCAGCATTGATCTGGGTTCTGGCAACCCTTTTACCTCAGCCTTCCAAGTGGCCAGAACTACAGGTGTGTGCTGCCACGTATGGCTAATTTTTTAAATTTTATCATAGAGATGAGGCCTCACCAAGTTGCCAAGGCTGTTCTCGAACCCTTGGGCTCAGGCAATCCCCTCACCTCGGCCTCCCAAAGTGCTGAAATTACAGACTTGAGTCTCTGCACCCGGCTCAGCCCATAATTTTTAATAAATAAATTCTGGGGTTTTTTTAGTCCCCTTTGTATGCACAAAATACACATTAGAGAAATCTATGTCTGGACATATGACTGGTTTTCAATTTCAGCATTGATAAAGAGTTTGCTTTCCATTTAAATATTCGTGATGGTTAATTTTTTGTCAGCTTGGCTAGGCAAATTACCCAGTTCTCTGGTCAAACACCAATCTGGATGTTGCTGTGAAGGTATTTTCTTATATTTAAATCAGTAGACTTTGAGTGAAGCAGATATTATAGGGGATTTATTATGTATTACCTGCCTGTCCCACCTGGGAGAGTGTCCCACCTTTCACCAAAACTGTGAGAAATAAATTTGTGAGGGGAGCGCCAGCATCTCTGGGAAGCTCTGTGGTCCATCTTCTCTATAGGTCAGAAATTACAGTAGAAATTACTGCCACTGAATTGGGAATCCTATATGTAATGCAGATTATTGGATTCCAGGGTAGTAGGGGCCAAGGGATGGCACTTACTCCCCAAAGGCAACGTGGGCATGGCAAGCACAACTCAGTCAAAGCAGGATAGTCTGACTTGCAGAGGTCTGTGGGCTGGTTGATCAACATGTCCCTAGGTGTGAAATAGATGAAACTTTTACTTGATTTGTAAAGGTAAAATTTTTGTTACCTGTCCCTGTGCTGTTAGTTATATTCTACCAGTCTCCAGGTCCTGTTTCCAAAGAGAGGAATACTTCTGCTGGGAGATACAACACAGATTCCATTGGACTCGAAGTGAAGATTGGGTCACTTTGGGCTTCTCTTACCTCTGTACAAATGGGCAGAGAAAGGAGTCACTGTACAGGCTGGGGTGAGTGACTGTGATTACTCCCCAAGGAGGGAAGGAAGAGGATGTCTGGAATTTAGGACAGCCCTTAGGTATCAAATCCCATGACCTGTGATTGAAAGTCAGTGGAAACCTTAACCTAATTTGGGCAGGACTGCTGATGGGCCCGACTTTTCAGGAATGAAGATTTGGTTTACGTCACCACGTCAAGAACCATGACCAGCTGAGATACTTGCTGAGGACAAAGGCAATGCTGAATAGATAGTGGATGAAGGTAGTTATAAATACCAGCTACAATCATGTGACCATTACAGAATGGAAATGAAGAATGTTATTATTGTGAGCATTTCTTCATTATGTTGTTATAAATGTGTGTGTTTATGTGGCAAACATTTTTTTCTGTCTTATCCCCTTATCATAACAGAGGATGTATTAACTTTATATCATAAGCCAGGCACAGTGGCTCACACCTGTAATCCCAGCACTTTGAGAGGCGAAGGCGAGAGGATTGCCTGAACCCAGAGGTTCCAGGTCAGCCTGGGCAACTTGGCGAGACCTTGTCTCTACAATAAATTAAACAAACAAACAAAACCTCTACATTATAATATTAAAGTATTGCTAACTTTAGACATAGTATTTAAGTTGTAGAATGTTAAGGAACGTCCCCCAAGGACTTTGCAATGTCTTCTGGGGAAAGTGTTAATGCACTTGCAGCTGCACAGAATAGTTGTATCATGTTGGGTGGAAACATTACCTTGCTTTTGTCTTTATTTGGACACTATGTATGGATTTAGGAGCTCTATAGGTGTGCCACATTAACAAGTGTTGGACTATGATGTTTAATTTTATGTGTCAGTTTGGCTGGGGTTGAGTACTCAGTTGCTTGGTCAAACACTAAAGTTGATGTTGTTGTGAAGGTATATTTAAGAGGTGATTACCATTTAAATAAGTATACTTATGCTGGGCACGGTGGCTCAAGGCTAATCCCAGCACTTTGAGAGGCTGAGGCGAGAGGATTGCCTGAGCCTAGGGGTTTCAGACCAGCCTGGGCAACTTGGCGAGACCTTGTTTCTACAGTAAATCAAAAACTTAGCCGAGCGTGGCATTGCATGCCTGTGGATCAGGCTATTTGGAAGGCTGATGTGGAAGGATAGCCTGAGCCAAGCATGTCAAGGCTGTGGTGGACATGAATGTACTACTGCACTCCAGCCTGTGCGACTCCAACTCATAACTAAATAAATAAATACACTTGGAAGAAAGCAAATTACTCTTCAAGATGTGCATGGGCCTCATCCAATCAGTCGAAGACCTTCAGAGAAAAGACTGTTGTTCTAGGAAGAGAAAGAAATTTTGCCTCCAGACTGCCCTCAGATTGAAGACTGCAACATCATTTCCTGACAGAATTCCCAGGCTGCCAGTCAGTCTAATCAATTACAGGCCTGTCAGTCCCCACAATCACATGAGCCAGTTTCTTTAAATATATCTTTGTCATTCTATCTCTATGTATCTATATACAATTTATTGGTTCTGTTTCTGTGGAACCATGAGTAATAGTAATATGTTTGGGAAAATGGGAATCATTTAAAAGACAAATGTTAAGTAAAGTCTGGTGTAGGTGGTAGTTGAAATGGCAGGGATCCATCTGTGTGTGTTGTAAGGGCATCTACTATTTTGCCCCTGGTTTTGTATGTCCCATCCAGGTCACAATTTTGTGGGAAGAGTAAATAACTCTGTCTAGGTCATAGTTAACATGCTCAGGTAGTTGATGAAGACAGTAGAAGTAGCACAATTAGGCACAACAGGCATGGCTTGTTGGTCTAGAGATACAAAAATGTCCCTGTGCTACAAATAAAGATAATAAAATCACAGCTAATATTGTAGACTACGTGGCATGTGGCAGACACCGTTCTAAGTACCTTGCATGTATTAACTCATTTGCTCCCACCAGCCAGTTCCTATTATTCTGCTCCTTTGATGGTGGAGGAAAGAGGTTGTGTCATCCATGTATACGTGACTCAGCTGAGATTTGCACTCATTCATGCTAATTGCATCAACTTGCCTCCAACCACCACCCTGTGACACCATGTCATGTAAAAGAGGACACTGAAACTCTGCCATAGAGGCAGCAGTGGGGAGGCCATGGAGTGAGCAGTCAGATCCCTCTGCAAGGCTCTGTGAGCAACCTGGGCTTCAGTTTCCCAGCTGTCAAGCAAGGGGCATAATTGGGCCAACTAGCCAATGGGCCTCCCAGCTCTGAACTCTGAGAGTTAGGGCTCTCATGATCTGTCAGACCCGGCCAGGGCAAGAGGTCAGCTGCAGTATAGATTCAGAGTTCTGATTTCTGAGCTGTGTGACCTTGTGCAGATTGCTTAACCACTCTGGAAAACAACACAGTCAGTTTGGTCTCTGCACATTCACTCTCTCAGTGGGTCACATGAATGTCACATTGAAACATTGGAAAGGTTTTTGTGTTTGTTCATATACTATAGCAGCATCTTAATCCCAGAGGGCTTTTTATAGGAGGACATTCACCCTTCTCCCATACACAGTGAGCAAGGCTTTACTCTGTTTCCATCTGCAACCCAGAATAGTTCTTCCCAGACAAGTTTTCCCCCAAGAGCTTGTTGAGACAGATTCTCTCTTCAAGAAAGTCCATGTAGACAGAGTGATCATAATGGTTTTCATTGGCTTTTTTTTTAGAGTTGGAGTCTCACTCTGTCGCTCAGACTGGCGTGCAGTGGCCGCTCCCGGCTACCGCAGCCTCGACCTACTGGGCTCCGGCGATCCTTCTGCTCAGCCTTCCAAGTAGCTGGAACTACAGGCACGTGCTACCATGCCCGGCTAGTTTTTTGATGTATTGTAGAGACGAGGTCTCACCAAGTTGCCCAGGTGGGTCACGAACCCACAGGCTCAGGCAATTCACTCACCTCAGCCTCCCAAGGCGCGGGATTACAGGCTGAGCCACGGAGCCGGCTGGCCATTGTTTATTAAGCGATGGCCAGAAGCCAGGCCACTCTCTCAATTAACCCCTACATTGAGTTAAAATCTTCTTTCTACAAATGAGGAATTGGAGGCTCAGAGAGGTTGAGTGATGTACCCAGGACACACAGTCAGTTATGGTGACGTGAGCTGTGAAGTAGGACTGTCTGACACCAAAACCTATGTCCTTGGCACAAGTTGCCTTCTGAAAACCCCTCTTTACATAGAGCACCTTCAGGCAAGCTTGTTCCTGATTCCTGGGCCAAGGGACTCATCTTCCTCTTTGACTGAACATCAAATAGCATTCCCTCAACAAACAGCCAGAGGAAATAACCGTTGACTTTAATTACAAGTTGCCCAAGGCCTCACTCTTCCTAATGAAAGCCACCACAACCTCCAAATTTCTTGCGTGGGCACAGGAATTACTTTAGACAGGAAGTACTTCATCTGGAATCCACAGCCATGTGCTCGTTATCTTGCCAGGAAAATGCCAGTCCATCGCTGGTCACTTTGCTGGTTTGACATAGCCAAGGGCTGGAATTTTAAGGAGGAGAATATTCAGCCTGGTCTTGGGAGGAACTTTCAAACACTGAGGTCCAAGTCACAACAGGGAGCTCTTTAGGGTCAGCAAGTGTCCTGTCAGAGTTGCTGGGCAGGCCAAGACTGATGGTTCCACGTGGGGACGTTTTGGCTAGTGCTGCTCAAGGTGTGGTCCACACACAGGTGTCCATCTGTGAATGACTTATTTCCAGTCTGCAATGAACACTTTCTCTCTCTCTCTCTTTTTTTTTTTTTTTGAGCTGGAGTCTCACTCTGTGCTGCAGGGCAGCGGCATGCTCATGGCCCCTGCAGCCGCGACCTGCTTGGTTTAGGCTATCCTTCCGCTTCAGCCTTTCAAGTAGTTGGAACTACAGGTGCACACCACCACGTCCAACTTATTTTTTGATTTATTGTAGGGATGAGGTCTCACCACGTTGCCCAGGCTGGTCTTGAATCCCTGAGCTCAGAGGCAATCTTCTTGTCTCAGCCTCCCAAAGTGCTGGAATTACAGGCGTGAGCAACTGCGCCCACCCCCCCCCCCCCTTTTTTTTGAGTTGGAGTCTCACTCTGTCACCCAGTTTGGAGTGCAGTGGCTTGCTCACGGTCATCGCAGCCTCTACCTGCTGGGCTCAGGTGTTCCTTCTGCCTCCGCCTCCCAAATAGCTGGAACTACAGGCATGCACCACCATGCCCAGCTAATTTTTTGATTTATTGTATAGATGAGGTCTCACCAAGTTGCCCAGGCTGGTCTTGAACCCATGTGGGTTCAGGCAATCCTCTCACCTTAGCCTCCCAAAGTGCTGGGATTACAGGCGTGAGCCACTGTGCCTGGCCCTGCAATGCACGCTCTTAAACAAATATGTAGTACTTGTAATTTTATTTTTCCTGTTATTTTTTTCTTCATATATTAAAAATTTTCTGTTAAATCTAAAAAAATTGGTTATGTATTTTCATGGTTTTTTTAAATTAATTTTTGTTAACTCACCTGAGTTTAAATCCGTGACTGACAGAAAAAAATTGGTCCCTCACAGAGAACTTGAGGAGCCCCCTGTAAGATCCTAGCACACAGGATTTGGACCTACTCCCGGTAGTAACTTTCAAGCCTAAAAGCTGATGAGAAGCTGAAGTTGGGCAGGGAAATCAGAAAGCGAAAATGAGGGATAAGTAGGGCTCGCTTGGTGACTCAGCCTGTAATCCCGCGCTTTGGGAGGCTGAGGTGAGTGGATTGCCTGAAACCACATGGGTTCGAGACCCGCATAGGCAACTTGGCGAGACCTCATCTCTACAATAAATAAAAAATCAGCCAGGCATGGTAGCACGCGCCTGTAGTTCCAGCTACTTGGAAGGCTGAGGCGGAAGGATCGCCGGAGCCCAGCAGGTCGAGGCTGTGGTGGCCGGGAGCTCGCCACTGCACTCCAGTCTGGGTGACAGAGTGAGACACTAACTCAAAAATAAAAAAAAGAAAGAAAATGAGGGATAAAGAAATTTCTTGCCATCAACACGTGGCATGAAAACAGAGAGGACTCTGTGTCTGCACTCTCACCGCCCCCCCCAGTGCTTTGGCACAATTCAACCTTTTTTATTTTATTTATTTCTTGGTCAGAGTCTCACCCTGTCCCCCACGCTGGGTTGCAGTGGCATGATCACAGCTCACTGCAGCCCCAAACTCCTCTACTCAGGCGATCCTCTGTCTTAGCCTTCTGAGTAGCTCGGAGTATAGGTGCACACCAAGCCCAGCCGTTTTGTAGAAACGGGGTCTTGAACTCATGTGTTCAAGTGATACCCACACCCCACCCCATCCCACCCTACCCCCACGGCGTTACCAAGAGCCGGGATCACACTGCACCAGCTCAATTCCCTTTTACACAAGAGGAAACTTGGTGAGGCAGCCTGGCTTGCCTGAAAGCACTCAGGAAGTCGAGGGTTCTCCCCGTCTCTGCACTCCCAGTTCAATCCCTACCCCAGCCCTAGTGGGCACCAACTTCAACACACACAAAGAAAACCAGAGTGAGAATAAAATCAACAACTTTTATTATCATTCACAAATTTCGTAGAAAAAGGGATGTAGCAAATGGGTCAGATTTGCAGGTTTAAAAAAAAACAATCCGGGTTTGTACACGTCCTCTATTTACATCTGGAAGTGGGAGCGGGCCCGTCCCGGTTTCAGGCGCAGCAGCTGCACTTGTCCGAGGCCCCTTTGCAGATGCAGCCCTGGGCACACTTGGCGCAGCCCACGGGGCAGCAGGAGCAGCAGCCTGGGGACAGAGAGGAGGTGGCAGACATGAGCGCTAGGGACCCAGGGAAGAGGGATCCCAGCCCCCCGACAGGCATCACCGCGGAGGCACAACTCCCACGAGGATGAGGCATGCCCAGCCCGCTTAATCCCCTGAGGACGGGTAGCGGCCGGGCTGGGCTGGAGGGCAGTGACCGGAAGGGGCGAGGCTGGCACTCACTCTTCTTGCAGGACGCGCATTTGCACTCTTTGCATTTGCAGGAGCCGGCGCAGTTGCAGGAGCCACCTGCAAGGAAGAGAAGGACAGAGGTGAGGACGGTCCCTGGGTACCTGGCTCAGGACTGCGAGTTCGGAGCTGGGTCTGAGTCCGCGGCCGAGCCTGGCCGCTCCACAGCCCACTCGGGGGGACTTGGGCGACTCATGAACTCGGACCTCCTTATCGGCGAAAAGCGGGCTCCGAGTAACCTGGGACGGAGAGAAAGACACCCCAGAGCGCTTCGGGAAGGGGCAGTGAGTGCCCTGGAACGGCACGAGCAGAGGAAGAAAGAGGGTCAGAAAGGCTTCCTAGCTCTGCCGTCTACACCGCGGCCCCGGGGCCCCTCACCGGCGGCGCAGGAACAGTTGGGGTCCATGGCGAGCAGGAGGCGGCTGGAGTCAGGACGCGGCGGCACGCGGGCGGGCTGGGACCAGGAGGAGGCGTGCCGGAGCGCCGCCCGCCGGGCTGTGTTTATAGCCCGTCCGGGCCGGGGCGAGTGCAAAAGCCCGCCCCGGCGGGGGCGCCGCCTGCACACGCCCCGCGCTGAGTCACTCGCGGCTCCGCTCGCCGCTCGGGGCCGGGCGCACCCGCTTTGCACACGGGCCGCCGGGGCCGGTTCCCAGAAGCCGCCCCACGTGCGCTCCGGGGCCGC